ATAAGCTTAGAATTTCAAATATACATGCCACTCAAGTTGTTAGGACTGTCACTTTAATTGAAACTGGGCACATTTAGAAACATGTGTCCCAAACATAATGAATATCAAAATCTGTGGTTACAGAGTTGTCAAGAGGTATCGGTAGACCGAACATTATACGAAACTCACAAGACAGTGACGTGAAAGGAAAACTGTAACCAGAGATGACCGGTTCATCGTTACCAGGGTGCTTAGAAACCGGACCCTAACTTCATCGTAAGTAAGCACAAAAATTGTGAGAAAAAGACTGAAATCTGCTGGAATAAATTCACTTTTACCTGCCAGAGGCTCCCTCTTTTGCCACATGCGATACTCGATCGCTTGAGTTAATTTTGCTTGCTCTTATGAAAATTGGAGTAAAGTTATATATATTCACACATGAGTTCAAATTTTTCGAGAAGCCAGATGATGAAAGAATTAAAATGTGGAGACGCCCAGGAAAGAGTTACTGCGGCTCCAAATTATCGCCGTGAAGCTCCGTAAACAGGTGTGAACGTGAATGTGGATGGTTTTCGCCTATTCACGCTCGTTCACGCCTGTTACTTTACCAAAGTCGGTATTGTGTCCCGCAACAAAGGGTTCACGCACCCTTCGCGCGGCGTTCACGCGTACACATCTACATTCACGGCACCGTGCCAGTTCGTTTCGGACTACAAAGGCGTACGGACGATGTATTTTAGTCATACACCATCTTCTTTTTTTCCAACGCTTTCTAGTAAATTTCTTTCTGATGTCTGATAAAAATCTGATGTACTGGTTGAGGCCGTCTAGGATATGATCACAAACTGCGGACTTCCCGGAACGTTTATGCTTCACACATAAGAACACATAGCTGACGTGATCAGTGACATCAGATTTGATAGACCACAAATCCTCGCGAAAGAATATCGATTCCTACCAAGGATAATACATGAGGCTATTGAAATTAAAAAACATCCTAATTTCACTAGAGAAGGAGGCTGGGTACTGCCACCTGCTTGGGGCCCTATAATTAATAAAATTGAAACAACCCAAACATACCACTGCCAGACTTCAAAACACAGTTAGTTCATTCTGCGTAGATTGGACCAAGGACAAAATTAAAAAGCTGAAGGTACTCCGGGTTAACTTTGACATCGGGACCTTAGTCATCTCAGTCCCCCGTGACCATGGATGCTGGAAAGCACCCGAAACGTCGGGTATTAAAAATAACATAAATAAACGCGATAAAATCCGTAAAAGTAGTATGACATATATGTTGAATTCAATAGAAATATCTCTGATTGTTTTCCTACTTTTTCGAGAACTCGTTAAAATCTATCTCTCATCATCTCTCACAGAATTTTGTCACTATAGTACCTTTTTGCATTTTTGACAACGGTCACCAGTCTGAGAATGCCATCCTTCGGAAGTTACAACACTCTCTCGTTTATACCTTTGTTAACTTTTATGGCACCTACGTGATGATAAGGACTTACGCCATTAGTACATGTGGTTCATCAGTGTGGTTATAAATTTTCATTTGCTGAACTTAATATATTAACTGTTTTATACTATAAAAGAAAACAAGTTTGTTGTTGTAGGAAAAATAGTTCAAAAATTTACATAATTTCAATATGATAATAACGGTGAAAAAATGTTACAGAAATGGTTATTAAAACATAAAGGGCGGTTGTTTGTGCTTGTATTAAATTCCCAACAAAGGAAGGTTTCGTAATACAGGAGCATATTGTATTAAAAAATTTAAACGAACAGAATGGTGACTTCATTTTAGCACGTTTTATATTAAGAATTTTTGTTTCAGAGGCTCTAATTTAAATTCAGTATTTTCTAATCTATTTAGACGTGACATGTTTAGTCAAAAAAATCTATACCAGTACGAGGTTCCGATTGGTCGACCTAGGCAGAACGCGTACTGTGTCTAGGAGTCTTGCAGTGGTATGCTGGAATTTGAATTTAATTTTCAGATTTTATTTAACTGCAAGAATTGTAAGCTCGTTCGGCGTAAATAAACCTGCAATAATGGTAAATTATCGAATAAATTGTTAATTATTATTAATATAAAAATATTTAATGTTATTTTTTGACACTTTATTCATTTCGTTTTATTAAATTTACATTTATAAAATATTTTTTCACGCCCATTTTTAAATGAAAAATCTCTTTGTTCGACACTTAGGGAAAGTAAACTCATCGCTCAGAGAATTCAGAAACAGAGACAGAGATTCCACGCAGAGCGGCTCGGGTCCTCAACGACTAAGTTCTTTCCGATCGGCTTAATCCGGATCCGGGTCCTTGCGAAAATATCTTGAATTCTATTACATTTACTACGGAAAGTGCTCTGGAGAATCCATTGTATTTTATTGATTGTCGTTAGGTGGTAGCACTTCTTTTTCACCTAGGAGTCCGTCTGGGAAGATTTTTTATTGCTATGTTCCGGTATGAAGTTTATAGAGACAGTATTATAATATTATCAGGCTACTGAATCAATCGTCATACACCGCGACAGAGCCCTAAAATCCCTCCACGTCATCGCGATGTTTCACTATACACAATCGTGCGTTTTGGAAGCAATTTTCTGCCACACACGATCACACAGTAGAATCCGACTCAATCGAATAAAGAAAGAATCTACTCTTTTTTTTCTTTCTTTCTTACACTACTCTTACCTGTCTTTATCAGTCATTGGTTTGATCTCATCTAGAATATGTGTCTCCCGTTTGCATTCCATTCTACTTGGTTTAAGAAGAATAAAATAGAAAAGGTCCAAAAGAAACCCTTACGTATTGTTAACTACCGACTGCATTCACCCGACGACTCGTATGAAATTCCCTTTTTTATAGGATAGGGTACCATACTAGCACTCAGTTCACCTGACGATAAGTGGTTGCTGCGGCCCATAGACATCTACATCTATCCTTGATTACAAAATACAAATCAAAATGCAGAAGCTTGTCACCTGTGAGGGCTAAGATGGAATACCTCGTTTCCAGTAAAAAGGGTCTTTTAATTATTTTAATTATTAAGCTAACGCTGTTTTTCTTTGTGAGATTTTTTTTCTGTGAGAGCATGGTCCTTCCCCGGTCGAGCCGACCCATTCGTGCTACAACTATACTACTTATATAACTGCAGCACGGCTCTACCACGTATAAATCACCTCTTAACAAAATATCAAATGTTATCATCTAAAGCTCTTTAATTGACGCCACCACCTTAGGACCACCACTTGTATCTGCGTTGGTGAGATTAAGTGTTCACAGTTATTGTCCGAGGTAATATTTCGAATACCACCCAAAAACACACGATCAAAAAATTTATTTCACATACCATAAACCAGGACCAATGTTAGTAAAAGAACAACAGTACACAGAATGTGTCCTCCACAACATGTTCTCTATCTCCCGTTCAGCCTTTAAAACTAAATTAAAAAAGTATTTTAGTAAAAATTATGAATTAGATACACAAGGAAATTTAGTATTGTACATTTAAGTTTTCAGATTATTGTTTTCTTTTTATAGTATAGACTTGTTACTCTGCTTGTTGTGCAGACGATACCAATTACGATCTGCTTCATAATATAGATACCTATGTATGTTCTCAGTAACAGTTTGTAGGGATCTATCGTAATTACCATTGTTTATTTTACTCTCCATGATTTTTTCCATATATTTTGTTTCTGTTTTGTCTCCAATAAATAAATGCATTTCAAAAGTCCTTTAGAAATTATAATAAATTGTGGTAACATTTACGGTAGGTTATTTCGGAAAAATGACCACAGCAAAGCGAAAAAGGACCAAGATCTGCTCATTATCTGTAAATGAACGAAATATAACGTTACTACATATAGGTAACTTTTATAATTGAAATATAAAATTATGTTTTAAAGTACCGTGATATAGTTACCCCTGTGAATAATACAATGTTGATATCGGCAAAACCGAGTGCAGTCAATTTACATGGCTTCTGAGCTCTGAAAATATAATTTGTATGTATGTGGGAATGTTGAATTAGTATTATATTATAATATTTTATAAATCAAATTTTTTTGTACTACTTACCTATAAGATATAATCATTAGATTTTTTACAACGGTAGACTTTACTTTATACCATCCACAATTGTACACTGCGTCGCTTATTTCTGCGCTCTAAAAAACATCTATAGTGTCAATTTATTTTGGTACTAATTCTTAAGTTTCCCCACTCAGATGGGCTTACATATCTTGTAAACATGCTATTTACGTAAAATTTAAGTAACATTTGAAATTTGTGAGTACCGACCTTAGTAGGTTGGTGACGTGGTGAAAAGAACGAACATATTATTGTTACTTTAGAATAAACTACATGTTAAATAGTATTTTAACTTTAAAGAGCTAGTAGGAAGATATAGAAAGGTGTACGTAATTTCTATCAACAAAAATAATTAAATCTATACGACATTCATACACTGTATTCAAGTTTTAAATATAAACGTAAAAGTCCAGTGCCAGAGATTGACATCTCTTGACGTTCTCTTTAGTCGCCACACACAGGCTTGGTAGACGTATTGGCGAAGTAAGTGACAGACATCTTTTAATTTTAAGCAGCTCCTCGTTGCGTTTTTGTATTCTAAGTCCGGCGCAAGTGAAGTGGTACGGTGTCATCTATTAAAGCCCTGAGATCTTTTATTATTTGCCATAGCCGTTTTTTGCAACACCCACGGGTCGAAATAGAATGATGAATTTTAATGTCAAATAAATTGAAAAGAACCACGAGGATCAAAAGATAAATCTTCCAATATACACCGTGGAGAAACCTGCATTTAGGATATATCGTCCGTACGTTTATCAATGGGCATAAAAATAGCTAGCAAAACAAATAATAATAATATTGTAGTAAATAAACAAATATAAATAAAGTTAAATAGTACGAGTATATAACTTATAAAGGTAACCTTGAATAATATGAAAGTTTAATAAATATTTCTAATGTTTTCAACGTAATTTATTCATATGTAAAGATACTTACTGATCTGAGAATAAGGTCACCATAATAACATAGTAGATATATTTGCCCAATAACCATAAATAAAAATGCAATAAAGGGTATCACGATGAGCAGATTGTCGTATGCCTAAAACGTTAATATTTAATGATAATAACACTTATAATTAAGGGTAAAACTTAGTGCAAAACTAGAAAAAAAAAATAATTCACATATACTAGCTTCTGAATGATAACACTGTGTTGAACTGTATTGAAAAAATACTAGGAAAGCCCCGATTTCAGAACTCCTCTACCTAAACCTTTTGTAACATGCCTTTTAAATATGTACATGAAAATCTTCATTACCCATTATTCCATACGCTTTGGGATGGAATTATTCTTAAAAAAATATAGGACCTTGAAGAACATCGCTGAAACCTATTTAGTAAAACTGTGTTTCGTATGATGAGTGTAAAGGACCGGGGACCCTTTTTACTGGAAACGAGGCATTTCATCTTAGTCCTCACGGATGACAACGTATCTGCATTTTGATTCGTATTTGAGGATAAACGTAAAGGTCTATGGGCTACAGCTACCACTTACCATCAGGTGAACTGTGTGCTCGTTTGTCAACAAGAGAGAGAGAGAGAGAGAGAGAGAGAGAGATATAGAGAGAGAGAGAGAGAGAGAGCGCGAGAGAGAGTAGCCTCATAAACATATTGATCATTAAACAGAACAATCTTATTTAACTGTTACCACAAGTTTCTTTATTAAAATTATTAAATTAACATTCATACCGGGTATTTGTGAAACGCTCCCGAAAACGAAGACAGACGATAGTACTAAGGATACCTTTGATGATGGGATGAAAATAAAATCGATCCCAATGAAAAAATAAAAAGTTTTATAACGTTTATTTAGCTTTATTCACGCTCTATTATGTTAGTACTGCTAAATAAAACGATAATTTCATGAAAAAGTCATGAAAATACTTTCACATAAAACCAGCAGAGAAACTTCAAATACCTAACATCAGCTGATAGGGGTCAATGTACCCGCGACGCCAAATACGCGCGACACATGAGTAGTTTATCCACTCATGTGCGCGAGGCCTGCAGCCCACGTTCGTACCAATACCTAATAATTTACAAAATTTGTTAAATACCTAACTTAATCACTTAACCTACTATTTTGCCACTTTGCTGGTCTCCACCTAGCCACTTTAAAAAAAGAAAAACTCCAGGTTTGATTCCCCGCTATGAAAAAAAATACCCGTGTACGTATGTTTACTATGCTGATGTATTCAATTATGTACCTATTCAGATCAGATCAGTACTAAGTTATTTATAAAAATTGGGTATGAAATAGCTGGCCGATCTAAATCCATAAATAAACCTGCCCGTATATATGTAAACCAATCATGGGGTTTGGTGCTCGGTTTGTCGAACAGCGTGCGGGTTAATCTCGGAATATATGTGGTGTGTTTCTTTGGTTCCACAGGCCTTTTCTGGTAAATGTCGACTCCAGATGTGCTCTGTCCAAAAGTGCACAATGAAACCAGGTACGCGTTGTTGCTGTTCTAATAACCAACGGCAGAAAACTCGCCGGCAGCAGTGTTCGCTGTGGACCAAAGCTTGCACTTCGTGTACTTTGTATGGGTGAATTCGGTTACGCTTTAACACCTTTTGAACTGTCCAGTATGACACATTTTTTCCATCTCGACGCCTTAACAACAGGCTTCTTCAAGGCACATTAAAATGTAGTATATAAATCATGAATACATGAGCACTATAACATGTATAAACAAGAAACACAAAACGTAACAATAAGTAAAGACAAGTAATAACAGCAAGCTTTTAATAAACAAATTGTTTAAACTGTCGCTCATGCGCACTTGAACACGGAATTGTCTCAAAAACTAAAATTAATAATAAATCCCGCCAAAACAAATGCCTATGCTACGTTAATGTCCTTGCGGTTAGTACTCTGATCATTTCCACAGATCGTTAAACCGTTATGACATTCCCAACTTTAATTTTATAAGTTTAGTTACCTAAAACTAATCTTCATATGGAACTTAGAAGTTATAGTTGTCATTTTTAATACGATTGGACAATCAATTGAAGCTGATCCCCTGAAGCAACCCTGAAGCAATTCTTTACTACGAAAATGGTATTGAAATTAATAAGTGTACCTAATTGGGTACACACTTACACAATTATAAACACAATTTCATCGTTATCTTTGATTTTGTACAAGAAAATAGAAATGATATGGTATTGTTACGAGCTTGAGGTTCGTGACAATAAAAATTGCTGATAAAATTACCTAAATTAACACTTTAATTTACTTTACACAAATTAAAACTAAAAACACTAATAATTAAACACACCAATTCACTTAACTCCGCTCCGAAGCTTCGCTTGTGTCGCCGAGTTCAACTCTGCCCGCTCGCATCTTGCAGCGCCTAGTTATATAAATTAGCAAAATATCCAGAATGTTCAAGTAAACACGCGCAAGGTACCGAGAGTTCGAGTATTAAACTTCAAGAAGTTTAGTTCTTCGGTTCGAGACTAGATGGCGCTAGTGCGCCGATTTGAGCGCGGCGTAACACTGCCCCCTCCTAAGACATGCTCGTCCCGAGCATTATCGGCCCCATAATAACGCGCTAGGCGATCCACATGGACGATCTTAGGAGTCCCTCTTGCGCCTTTCTGTATCCGGTAGGTTACATCGTTGATCCTGGTCACAATCCGGTACGGGCCGTCCCATTTAGCTTGAAGCTTAGGAGATTTCCCTTTGCTGCGGACTGGATTGTGCAACCACACAAGTGAACCTTCGTCGAACCCTTTGTTGTTCATTTTGCGGTCATACCGGGTTTTCATCTTTTCAGACATTTGCTGGCCCGATTGTCTGACGTGCTCATAAACGTCATTCATTTTGTTCCGCAAGTCATTTGCATAATCGGTTATACTGCGTGGAGTATCAGGTGGTATCCCGGTGATCAGGTCTGCAGGCAGCCGTAATTCTCTTCCAAAGTTTGCGAAAGCTGGTGTCACTGCTGTACTTTCGTGAACAGCGCTTCGATATGACAACAAAAACGGTTGTATGTGCTTGTCCCAATCTCGTTGCCGATTGTCTACAACTTTTGCTAGGTACCTCTCCAATGTCTGATTAAATCGTTCCACCATTCCATCAGATTGCGGGTGATAAGAAGTCGTTCTTGTTTTATGAGTACCCATAACTCGGCAAGTTTCCTGGAATATTTGAGACTCAAAATTCCTTCCTTGATCGCTGTGAATCTCTAAAGGTACACCAAAACGACAGAAGACTTCATGAACTAGCTTATCAGCAACTGTTGAAGCTTCTTGATTTGGAATGGCGAAGACTTCTGGCCACTTAGTGAAGTAATCCATCACAACCATGAAATACTTGTTACCGCTTTCACTCTCCGGAAACGGCCCCGCCACGTCAATGGCTATTCTCTCCCATGGTGCACCAACATTGTACAACTTCAATGCACCTCTACTACGAGTCTGAGGTCCCTTTACAGCCGCACAACTTGTACATTTGCGACACCAGTCCTCGACATCGTTTCGACAGTGGACCCAGTAAAACCGTTCTCGGATCTTCAGTAGAGTTCGTTTAACTCCCAGATGGCCTCCTGAATAATCATTATGGTACAGCTGTAGAACATCCGGTACTTTAGCTTTAGGGACAACCATTAGTAAATGACAGCTGTCTCCCCGAACATTTTCCCATTTACGGCACAGAACTCCATCCTGAAGCAGCAAGCTGTCCCACTGGGCCCAATAGCTTTTAGTGGTCGAACTCATCGCTGAGACGTCGCTCCACTTGGGCTTGGGAGCACTGGCCTTCATCCATTCCAGGATCGGCTTGATGTCCGGATCTTCCTGCTGTGCACGTTGTAAGCTGTCCTTCCACTCGTTGCTGAGGTGGTCTGCCCTGAGCATCCTCACGGATACCACTTCCTTACTCTCTTGCCTAGTACAATGTTTGCAATCTTCAGGACAAGGTCTTCTTGACAATGCATCTGCGTTGCCATGAGATTTCCCGCTGCGATGTTCGATCTCAAAGTCGTATTCCTGCAGTAGTTCAATCCACCTCGCAACTTGTCCTTCTGGATTTTTAAACTGCAATAGCCATTTTAGTGCAGCATGGTCAGTTCGTAAGTGAAATTTTCGCCCCAGAAGATATTTGCTAAAATGCTGCAACGACTTTACCACAGCTAGCAATTCGCGTCTTGTGACACAGTAGTTCCTTTCCGGTTTTGACAACGACTTGCTGAAGTAGGCTATCACGACCTCTTGGCACCATTCCGTTGAGACAACACACCGCCAAGTCCTATATCACTTGCGTCTGTGTCAACTATAAATTCTTTGCTTGCATCAGGGTATCCCAAAATAGGTGTTTTGCACAGACGGTCCTTGAGCTCCTGGAATGCGATATTGCAACTTTCATCCCAGCAGAAATATCGCTTCTCCTCGGTTAGCTTGTGCAGAGGTTTGGCTATATCCGCAAAGTTCTTCACAAATCGCCGGTAATAGGAGCACAAACAAACCCAAAAATGCTCTAACCTGCGTCTTGTCTTTTGGAACCGGCCAATCCTTGACAGCGGCGATTTTCTCTGGATCTGTGCGGATACCTTCTTCCGATACTACAAACCCCAAAAAGTTAACTTGCCGTTGGAATAGTGAACATTTCTTCGGGCTCAACTTGAGGTTGGCACTCTGAATCTTCATGAGCACGCGTTCCAGGTTTTGAAGGTGTTCCTCAAACCTACGGCCTACGATGATGATGTCATCCAAGTAGACCAGACAGGCATCGCCAATTAGCCCGGTAAGTACAAGTTCCATCAGCCTTTCAAACGTTGCTGGAGCATTGCACAACCCAAACGGCATTACTTTAAATTGCCGCAGACCCTTTCCCGTCGAGAACGCAGTTTTCTCCTTGTCCTTAGGGTCAATTTCAACTTGCCAGTAGCCACTTTTTAGATCCAGCGTGCTAAACCACTTTACTCCTGTAAGCATGTCCACACTCTCGTTTCTGAATCCTTGCTGGGGGTCCCACTCGATATATATTGGCACTGACGTAACCAATCCACTTCCTCACAAGTACCAACCAGTGTGCCTTTTTCTATAATCTGTTCCCGGTCGCAAAAGTTCGGCACACGTACTCCTGAGATGTCAGTGGTCTTGACCAAGGTTCGAGCTACTTTCCATGGAAGGTCATTGTTTACCCTTTCCACAAGTACACAACGGTGAGCTTGCCCAGCGTTTCGAGGTAGACTAACCGGAACAATCGTTTCCGATCTCGGCGGAAGAACAATCAAGAAGATTCTTGTTGCTGTACACGTTCCCTGGTAACGCACCTTCCATAAAAAGTTCCTCCTGTCCACATTTCAAAACACCTTGCTTGACGTCGATCTCACAACAATTATTCCTCATAAAGTCTAGGCCTAGGATGCAGTCGTCCATTATATCAGCCACGATGACATTATGCAGGTAGATCACGTTGCCTAGCTTCAACTCCATCTCCTTCTCTCCACGGACGGGTATACGCTGACCGGTGGCTGTTACCAAATTAATGCGTTCTCGGTTGTATGCGGAGTCCCCGAGGAACTGACTTATAAGTTGGGAACTAACAACCGTACGAGAGGCTCCAGTGTCTATGGTCAGCTTACATGGCATTCCGTTGATCTCGCCCTTTATGATTAGGCTGTTCCCATCATGGGTTTGTGAGATCGAGATCCTTGGGGCTCTTTTAACATCAGCCAGCCACCCGCCCCGCAGTTCTGGCTTTTACTCGTTTCCCTGCCGCTGCTGGGCGGTGCTGTTGGCCGCACTACCCTCCTGAGATCGTTCAATTTCCCTTTCTAGGGTTCGCTTAGGGCAGCTGGATCGAAGATGGCCCTTTTCCCCACAGCCATAGCACCTTCGGCTGTATCCTTTGTTGCGGTCGCGAACTGTAGCTGCTGCAACCTCCCTGACGCGATGGGAACGATGATTCTGCCGCACGGCTTCCACTTCCAGCGCATGGGCCAAGGCGTCCTTAAGCGTCTCGTGGTGCTCGAGCCTCACAGCAGCTCTGACTTCCAGGTCGCGGATGCCGTCGATGAATGTCTGCACCAGGTTCCCTTCAATGAGCGCAGGTACAGACCGGTATGCTTTTCGCACCAGCTTCTCCACTTCTAGAGCCCACTGCTGCAGGTTTTCGTTGATGCGCTGCACACGATCTTTAAGCTGCGCATGAAAGACGTGTTCCAGGTGAGCGTCGCCATATCTCGCCTCCAATGCCTCAAGAAGTTGCTCATAAGTCACTTCCTCACCGAGAGCTTCCAGAACTGTTAAGGCCTGGTCGCGCAGGGCTAGTGTGAGAGCAGTCATGGCCTGACTTTTATTCCAGCCGTTCGCCTTCATAACAGCCTCGAACTGGATTTTGTAGGCTGACCAGGAAGAAGTCCCGTCGAATGGTGGCACCTTGAACCCACGTAGCGAAGGTGTAGTAGCTACTACGGGAGCTGTAGTTCCATCCCCCAGTTTGAGGTCGTCCAGCGTTTTCTTCACGTCAGCCATCACTTAATCAACCCGATTGTTTACTTGGTCGATTTGGGTTTTAGCTTCCTTGATTTGGGTTTCAGCTTCCGACAGGCGGTTGTCATGTTGAGCAACCCTATCCTTCACCTCCCTAATCTCTTTCCCGAAGTTAGCGTGAATGTCCTTCACGAGGAGCATCTGCTCTTCCTGTCGGCGAGCCTGTTCCTACAGCATCACCATCAGAGCACCTAAATCGTGTGCTGCAGATGTAGGAGCTACTGCCGGGCCTGCAGCCGGCGGCTGGCCCTCCGACGTCTGCGGCGTTGCACCACCAAATCTTCTTTGGTCCGTCTCCTGCTGGCGTTGATTTCGGGTACGGACACCCTCCGTTTCCTCCTTAGGTAAAATCGGCATTATTTTATCCCACTTCTGACACCAATTGTTACGAGCTTGAGGTTCGTGACAATAAAAATTGCCGATAAAATTACCTAAATTAACACTTTAATTTACTTTACACAAATTAAAACTAAAAACACTAATAATTAAACACACTAATTCACTTAATTCCGCTCCGAAGCTTCGCTTGTGTCGCCGAGTTCAACTCTGCCCGCTCGCATCTTGCAGCGCCTAGTTATATAAATTAGCAAAATATCCAGAATGTTCAAGTAAACACGCGCAAGGTACCGAGAGTTCGAGTATTAAACTTCAAGAAGTTTAGTTCTTCGGTTCGAGACTAGATGGCGCTAGTGCGCCGATTTGAGCGCGGCGTAACAGTATTGAATAACTTAACAGTTAAAATCAATTTCAATTGTGATCGATAGTTAACTAATCTATCAGAATCAATCTAAAAAGTAATTCTTTTACTTTATTTTAATTGATTTTCCTTTTTTAATCCATCCAATATTTTGAACTTTGAACGTTTTTTTAGAAAGAGGTAAGTCATAGCTATTAAAATTACTTCCAAGTTTTATTGTGATTCCCGCCTGTAATTCTTATTTCGCTTGCAAATTTTAGTAGATTAATTTGACCTACTTGTCAAATTCCCCGAAAGTACATTTCAAATTCCCGTTAAATTTATTTTAAGTAATGTACAATTTTCAATTATTTTTTAGGATTTATTTTTAACAAACAGTTTTTTTTTCTTTTTAACTTGATTTTTTTTTCACATACCATATTTTTGTAACAAGCATTTTACTCCACGGAGTATTTATATTCATATTTTTATTCACAATTAGAAATAAATTAGAATGCAGATATAAGTACATAATAAAATGAAGCGTCGTACCATGACATTAAATCCAGTGAAGCAAATGAGCATAGAACTTGTGAGTATGTTGCAAAGTGAAGACTCCGAATATGCTGAATGTAATAACTCTACACAACTGTAAAGGGATTATTAAAAAGTTTGCTAAAATTTTTATTTGGCAGTTAAATTGTGAGTAATTTTGGATAAAAATGTATTGTATTTCTAATTATTAAAGGTATATTTAATGAAGTGCGGTGGTCGTTTGAAAGAATCCATCATCCAGTTTATCCCGTTTATGTCGTCTTCGACTTTATAAAATGCCAAAACAAGCTGAACTGACATTTTGTTAATGCAGCTGTTAATTACCCTGAGCGACAACAGGCTGCATTGCAAAGGTATGAAATGTCCGGAATCGCTTTTATGCCTGCATAACCTGCAGGAATAAAATATTTAGCAGACATGTCCGCCAACACGTACTGGTGCAACGAGGCGGACTTATTGCTCCACAACCTTCTCAAAAATGAGAGAGGAGGTCTGTGTCCAGCAGTGCAACGTAAATAGTAAAACTTCCAAACTTTAATACCCGTAGTTACAAATAAAAAAGTTTGAATATATTATGTAAAGATTTATATACTTATTAAAAAAATTCTCACCATAATAGCTGTCGATGGCGATCAACTATAGCTTCCAATTTAAACCTAAAAATATTTAACACAACGCCGTCGTGGTCAAAAATTGTCTCAATTTCTTGTTTTAATTGAAAAAATTGCACGTTTATAAGAGCACAAAAAGTGTAGAAGAAGTTATCTGGGCCCAGAACAGTGGAAACCGCAGCAATCGCTAAAGGTGCAGAGGAAATAATAACGTTAACTTGTACGATAAAAGCTTATCATGCCGTAAATTGTACTTACCAGACCATATTTGATGAACATATGCGATCGGCCATAAACGAATGTCAGAAGAGTCAAATGGATACCATAGGAAAAATGGTAAAAGAAGCTGTAGATTACCAGTTGCGTAGTAATTCGATAAGGATATTAAAATAGGACCAACGCCAAATGAAATTATACCAAGACCATCGAAAAATGATACTATATAGAGACCTATACTAAGAAACTTAACACGGTATTGCGTATATACTTCAATTCTTTTATTCATATCTAACATCTGGTTCCTTTCAACAGAATATAAACTACTTAATGTTTTTTTAAGTTTATAAATATTTCGCATATTTTTTGTAAAATAATACGATTTAAAACATCCCAGAATGCAAATAGTAAGACACGGTCCCAAATACGTTAGCTCAACTAAAGAAATTCCAGTATAGGACTTCTGTACAAGCCATATTATTTGACTTATTACATCGTAAAATACACACAAAAAATTAAGACAAAAGAACCATCTTCGCCTAAAATAATTTCTTAAGTTAAGTTTTTCGTCATATTTATCCAGAAATAATCCCGAAAATTTAAGAAAAGTGTTGACTCTCTCAATATTCTTTTGAAATAATTCTTTTTTAATTTTACTCATTTTATGATAGTTATTTCTTACTGTGACAACAGGACGTAAATGAAAAGAAATACAAAACTGGTTTCAAATAAAACGTTGACTCATTACATGAAGTAATTATTCATTATTATCTAATTACTTCTTTACAGAAAACACACAATTAAAGGGTAATTATAGTCTACTTTGTAATAGGCGTGGATAATACCACTCTTGCTCTATATCAAATCGTATTTATAATGGATATGAATATCTGATTTTGAATCTATATATCAATATCTATGTATTGGGAAGTCAGTATTCAGTACTATACGTCAATACGCAATTTTTAATGGGTTTGGTTTGCTTAGATTTAAAAATATATTGTATTATCTAAGTATATTAAGACGTATTTATTAATATTACCAAATGAAGCTATTATTTCGGTAACGTAATAAATAATATATTATTCTTAAACGTCTGGCTAAAATAATTTTTTTATAGAATAGAGTAACAAACGAGCACTCAGTCCACCTGATGGTAAGTGATTGCTTTGGACATCTACATCTCCATCAATGCAGATCATTTGTGAGGACTAAGATGGAATGCATCGTTTCCAGTAAAAAGGGTCTCCGGTTCTCTACACTCACCGTACGAAACACAACAGCATTAAGCTACTATTTTACGCTCGTATTCTGTCAGAGCGTGGTCCTTCCCCGGTCGAGCCGACCCATTCATGCTACAACTATACTTCTAATATAACTGCAGCATGGCTCTACCATTAATTTTTATTTGTCCGATATATAAAGTAAAAGTAAAGTTACAACCATAAATGTGTCCCAGTGCTGGGCACAGACCTCCTCTTTGACTTTTAATATATTTTCAGCAATTAGCAAATAGTCGCTTTGCCTTTTCAATCAATAATATATACATAATGTTACGAGCTTGGGTTTCGTGACAGTAAAAACTGCCGATTGAATTACCAAAGTTGACACTTTAATTCCCGAACAGCATTTAAAACTTAAAACACACTAATAATAAAACATGATTGTACTACTGACCACTTTAGTTCGCAGTTGTATCGTTTCGAAGTTTTCGCTTGTATTGCCAATTTAATACTCACTCGGGTCGCGATCGGTACCGGCCTTATATAGACCCTCTTGTACTGAAATACCTAGAATGTTCGAGTACATAACGGTCCCGACTAACTAGGTGAAGAAAGTTCTGGCATGGAAATCTCTAGAAAGATCTAGAATCTCTCCTGGTTTTGCTACTCGATACTAGATGGCGCTAGTGGTAACTTGCTACGTACCAGGCATTCATTATGATGCGCAAAACTACCCCTGCTAAGACATACTCATCCCGGTATTATCGGCAACATAATAATGCACCAGTCGATCCACATGGACGATCTTAGGAGTACGTCCTGCACCTTTATGTAATCGGTAGGTTAAGTCCCTAATCGTTGTCACAAATCTGGAGCACACACTCTTTTGTTACAGCTTGAAGCTTAGAAGATTTCCCTTTGCTGTGGAATGGATTGTGCAAACATGCTAGTGAACCATCGTACAACCGTTTGTTGTTCATTTTGAGGTCATACCGGGTTTTCATATTTTCAGACATCTGCTGACCCGATTCTCTGACGTGCTCATAAATGTCATTCATTTTGTTCCGCAAGTCATATGTTTAATCGATTATACTGCGCAGGGCATTAGTTGGTACTCTGATGATCAGGTCTGCAGGCAGCCGTAATTCTCTTCCAAAGTTTGCGAAAGCTGATGTCACTGTTGTACTTTCGTGAACTGCGCTTTGATATGATAACAAAAACGGTTCTATGTGCTTGTCCCAATCTCGTTGCCCATTTTCCACACACACTTTTGCTAGGTCCCTCTCCAATGTCTGATTAAATCGTTCTACCATTCCATCAGATTGCGGGTGGTAAGAAGTTGTTCTTTTTTTTAAGAGTACCCATAACTCGGCAAGTTACCTGGAATATTTGAGACTCAAAATTTCTTCCTTGATCGCTTGAATCTCTAAAGGTACTCCAAAATGACAGAAGACTTCATGAATTAGTGTATCTGCAACTGTTGAAGCTTGTTGATTTGGAATGGCAAAGACTTCTGGCCACTTAAGTGAAGTAATCCATCACAACCATGAAATACTTGTTACCACTTTCACTTTCCGGAAACGGCCCCGCCACGTCAAGGGATATCCTCTCCCATGTTGCAACAACATTGTACAATTTCAATGGACCTCTACTACGAGTCTGCGGTCCCTTTACAGCCGCACAACTTCTATATTTGCGACACCATCACGATATCTTAACTCAAACAAGCACAATGTAGAACATATTGAGACAACAAAAGCAAGACCCAAAATGTAGTGGATGACGTTAATGAGTGTCTGTACCAAGTTCCCTTCAATGAGCGCAGGAATGCTTTTCGAACCAGCTTCTCTACCTCAAGGGCCCACTGCTGCAGGTTTCCTTTGCTGCATTACACGCGATTTTAGAACTGCGCACGAAAGACGTGTTCCAGGTGAGCGTCGCTATATCTCGCCTCCAATATCTCAAGAAGCTGCTCGAAGTGACTTCCTTATCGAAAGCTTCCAGAACAGTTAGACCTGGTCGTGCAGGCCTAGTGTGAGAGCAATCGTGACCTGACTTTTATTTCAGCAGTACGCCGTCATGACAGCCGCGAACTTTATTTTGTAGTTTGAAGTCACATCAAAGGGTATCACTTTAAATCCACGTAGCGAAGGTGTTGTAGCTACTAGGGGAGCTGTAGTTTCATCCCCAAGTTTGAAGTCGTCAAGTGATTTCTTTATGTCAGCCATCACGTTGTCAACCCGATTATTTTCACTTTGTCGATTCGGGTTTCAGCTTCCGACAGGTAGTTGTCATGTTGAGCAACCCTATCTTTCAACTACATTATCATTATCCCGAAGGTAGCGTAAAGGTCCTTCATGAGGAGCATCTGCTCTTATCACTGTATCTACTTATCGCGTTTGAGCTGCTCTTCTAGACAACGGGCCTGTTCTTCTTGTCGGCACTGCAGCTGCTCTTCCAATCGACGGACTTGTTCCTCCTATTGGTGGGCTTATTTCTCCTGTCGGCGAGCCTGTTCCTCCAGCTACTCTGCCCATGACGGGCCTTTTCCTGCAGCATCATCATCAGAGCACCTAAGTCAGGTGCTGCAGATTTAGGAGCTGCTGACAGTCTAGCTTCCATGGCCGGCAGCTGTACCCCGACGTCTTCGGCATTACACGAACAAAGTGTCTCTGGTCCGTCTCCTGCTGGCGATGTCTACGGGTATGGATACCCTCCGTGCCATCCTTAGGTAAAATCGGCATGATTTTATCCCACTTCTGACACCAATTGTTGCGAGCTTGGGGTTCGTGACAATAAAAACTGCCGATTGAATTACCTTTCTACACCCAGTCAGTCTGGACCGGTATGTACTCAAACATACCGGTCCCAACGTAAGAAAGTTTTGGCATGGAAATCTCTAGAAGGATCTTGATTCTTCTAGTTCTGGTACTCGATACTAGATGGCGCTGGCGGTGCTTTCCACGTACCAGGCATTAATTATGGCGCGCAAAATTACTACCTGTTATTTTGAATCCATAAAAGAAGACTGTTGAAGTATCTAAGTGATTCAGATCGAAGGAATGAATGAATAAATGCTTGTGCGTTTCGAAAAGCTAAATTTCTTTTTTTAGCAAAAAAAATTAATTTAAAAATAAATAGCGCACACTGTGATACTATAAAAATCGGTAGAATTGGATAGAATTTATTTAAATCCATTCCACAATGTATAAATGTTAACTGTAGCTTTTTTGTATTATTTTACCACAATAATTTACAATTAATAATTTTTATATTTATGTAAAGAACAAGATTCATTTCTTCTCACTTTAAAGTGTGGAAGTTAAATAGAATACAATAGAAATTATCTACGGCCGAAATATAAAGAATAATAATACCATCATCATTCTTACAGGTTAAAACGAGTTCGCTGTTGAACATAAGCTTTACCCGAGGAATATCACAAAACATGGTCCTGAGCCATATCGACTTTTGCACATCTTACCAGTCACTACTCTATTTATTATAAGGGGGGATACGGCCAACATTGACCAGATCAACAAGTCTCGGTTGTCGCTGATTTATGTTGTTGTATATACAATGTTTATTGTAGTACCGCT